GATCGGGACTTTCAGGATATTCATATATATGTTTTGGACTGTATAACTATAACTTATGCTTCCGCTTATCTTTTGATAACTTATGATGATGGTTTTGATATGTTTTGACGAACATATCAAATTTTGACGGACTTTTCAGAAAGTAAAGTTTTTCAGTAACCGGTCGTTTTTATTAAATTAAAACAACAGTTTTCTAAAGTAAAGTAACGATTTTCACGGTGGCACCCCAAATCAGTTTCGCAAAGTAAAAATGTTTTAGTTTTCAAAGACTTTGCGAATAATTGCGCAACTCTGATTTATCTAGTAAGGTGGGGTGTTACAATTGGTATCAGAGCACGTTTCTGCGTCTCTGATAAGTTTTCAGTTAGAAAAGTTTTCAGTCTGAAATTTTTCAGAAAAACCCGAACCGTCATGTTCACGCCCCGCCGACGACAGGTAAGTGTTGTTGCAATTAAGTTTTTCAGTTATTATAAACATATTACTTTGTCTATGCTCAGGATTGAGGATCAGAACTTTAGTTAAGATGCTCGAATCAGATTCAGACTCTAGAGGTTGGACATGACTCTAGAATTCAGGCATTCAGATATGACTCTAGACGTTAGGATTTTCCGAGATGACTCTAGAGTTCTTCAGGTTTCATGTCAAGTATTCATCGGCCATTTTTGGCAACTCGTCAAGAGATCTGTGTGCCTATTAATCAGTCAGTAAGGCTATCATGTAATATTCAGTAATGTTAAATCTTTCTCAATGTTCAGATGCCACCACGTAGAGAGCCCGATCATCAGGGTCCTACCCAGGCTACGGTAGTCGCTCAGTTTCGCGACTATCACGCAGAAAAGTTCTCAGGACAGGGCGACCCCCGTATCGTCGATGAATGGATTCAGGGGTTGGAGTTTATCTTTGAGGTTATGGAATGTCCCGATAGATATCGCGTAGTCTGCGCTCAGCTTCAGCTCACTGTTTGATGCGAGGCTCTGGTGGAACGCCTACTGGAGCATGCGTCCCGGTGAAAAAGCAGGTTGTACATGGGACATGTTCAAGGATCTAGTTTGCGACAAGTACTACCCTTCTTACTATCGGGCAGAGATGGAGCGCCAGTTCTTAGCGCTGCAGCAGGGCACTCGTACTGTCGATGAGTACGAGCGTGAGTTCACCAGACTTGCAGGTTTCGCACCGGATCTTGTTCGCACAGAGGCCCAGAGAGCTCAGCGATTTATTGACGGACTTTACCCAGCAGTCCGTCATAACATTGTGGGACACGGGACACAGACGTATGCACGAGCCGTCTCTATCACCCAGGAGGTTGACGCTAG